CTTCTTTTTGTCATTCCCTACATGTGGGTTGGGAATTGATAGGATTTTTATGATTACGATTCCCTTATCGATTCTCTTATGGATTCTGTTGATAAAAGTTTGGTAAGTGCACGATGACATTCTTCTACCTTCGACTGGGACATTCTATTTCTGCCTGCCTTGGCGAAAACAGAAGGCAGTGAACAGAAGCTGCAGCCTCTGATCCAGCCAGGCTACCCGTCTGGTCACAGTCATCTAAATCTAATGGAGAAGGCATCTGTTTAATGAAAAAAGAATTACTGTACAGTTTCGGGAAATAAACTCATCTCCCCCTGATTTAAATAAACGAGCGTCACTTTTCTCTCGCTCCCTGAACTGCAATGCAACTTCGTAGCATGTTTCGTTACATCCATTTTAATAGCTAGAATCATGTAAGAATTCCAGCTAGCAGTGGTTCTAATTAAACATGCTAGCAATGAAGAGCTGGATTAACGAGAAAGGCAGACTCCCTAATAACCCCAAAAGAGAGGTAGGAAATTAGTTTGTTTCTAGAAATTGGATATGATTTACTAGGAAGCACATTAAGCACAGCCAGTGATATAAAACTAGCTACTAACCACCAGAGTTGCCTTCCATGCTGGTCGTAACTTTAGCTTCTGTCCAGAAGGCATCAAAAACACGGCATTCATTAAAACGGATGCCATGCAGGTGTTTCTGCATGTTGGTTGCATTTCCTCCCGCGGATGTAATTGCCACTTTGCAATGATTGCAAAGTGCCTTGTTGCCATCTTTCTCTTCCTTAAAATGAGGCCAAACTTTCGATCACTTTACCCGATGGGGCGCCATTAATTTTTTTTCTAGACTTACACCTGGTCACGTCATATTTGCTTACTGAGGCCCCGTCCACACGAAGCCGAACCCTGGCCTAAACGCACAAATTTTTCACCAAACCAGCCTCTCATCCATACAAAGCCGGCGTTTCGGGGGTCTGTAAACGATCTTTTTTTTATTCAGCCTTCAGAGTGGGAAGATTTTGAAACGCTGTTTTCGCGGTTCCATCTTTAAGCTCTAACCGCATTTTTTTTTTCTTACACGCATGCGTCATAGCGTCGCCTCTAAACACGCATGCGCGACACAGTATCACAGTAACAATGGCGCCGTACTGTGTTGAATGGTTGCTGCTCATGCTACTCACCCTGCTGTCGGGCTTACAACAGAATCTTCTTCTTCTGGAATATCTCCAGGAAGAACAGAGCAATATCGACCACATAGTTCAGCACCTGAATTTGACTGAACCACGAAAATGGACCCGCAGGGCAACCATGTATAAATATTAGTGCGCATGCCCAACATTTCGTCGCCTATTTTTGCTTTGGCACCACAGCGCCACTTACAGGCCTGGCATACATTTTGCAGCGTTTTCATGCATTCGTGTGGACGCTCACATTTATTTTACGTCTCCGTCTTTACGACAAACGTTCTGGAAAATATTAGCGTTTCGTGTTCGTTTTGACTTCGTGTGGACGGGGCCTGAATGTTGTGTGTGTGACTTGCATAAAAAATGTAACGTAAGTGTTGCTGCCCAGCGCTAGGCTCTGGTGCTGCCTGGAACCGTTAAGAGGATCGTTAAGGGAGCTGCCAAACGGTGCCATGGAATTGGAACACACAGAGCCGGTTCTGAACAGGAACCGGTTTTCCATTCCCGTCCCTACCTACCAACGTTCCTTCCTCCTTCTTCAATTCATTCCTTGGATTAGTTCGGTTTCCTTCCATAGCTCCAGTTCACTCCAAGTCACTTAAGTCGATTTGATCAAATCATGCATTGAAATTCATTTTTTATATCCATCCTTTCTTTTTATCTTACATCCCTTTCTCTCTCCTTTCGTCCTGCTCTGCTGTGCTGCTCCTCCATTTGTATTTCTTTGTCTCCTTTTTTCCCAGTTATTTTTGTGTCTCTCTTTCCTCATTACTTGGTTCCTCTTCCTGATTTACAGGTTTTATGGCTGCCTGCTGTTGGTATATCTGCCATACATTCAGGGTATCTGCTCTGTTTTAGAATAAATATGAAGAACTAAGAAAACTGGACATTTGAATTTGTGGAAGAGAGAATTATCTTTCCCTGACAGATGGCTAAAATCCTGATCGAATCAAATCAACCGAATCAAAATGATAATATGTGATAAAAAATCTTCTGCACAGCCTCCATCATACCTGCAGGATTATTAGGAGCTGGAACAGAAGGAAATGTTCAGCTGTAAAACATTTTCTTCTTCTGAAATAAAACATGCAGCATTTTAGCCACATGCTAAAAATCACAGATTCAAAAACCCCAAATCAGACGAAGACTTCTCTGTTTTCTAGTGATTGCAGTAATGAATGATGCGTTCAGGGCCGCTGGACGGTGGTTTAACTGAACGTTCTTTATGTTTCCTCTGCAGATTGTGATCGTGCAGTGGGGGGGGAAACCCTTCAGCTGTGCCCCCCTCAACGTGGAGCAGTGGCTCTGGTGTCTATTTGTGGGAGTTGGAGAGCTTCTCTGGGGGCAGGTGAGCTTTTCAGCCTGCTGTGTCTCTCCAGAGTGAGGTTTGTTGTTGTGCTTTCTCCAGCGTCACGCAGCTTTTTCGTCCAGCCCTCAAAACGCCGCCCACTTTGCATCCAAAAATTCAAAACGCATCTCTGTGTTGTGATTGGCCCGTCTGTTTGAGACCACTTGTAGGCAAAAATGATTTTGGCCGCTGGCGGGTGGGGCTAGTTTACTAGGCTAGTGCTGCAGCAGAAATTGGATGGAGGTAGATTAGAATCCAGATTTAGATCTCTAGAAACATCACATTTAGTTACAGACCTGATAAAAAAGCATATTTACATGTTTTTAATTGTTTTAAAGAGCCTTCTAGATGCACGTAAAAGGCTTAACATTCATTTCAAAACATTTTTACTGTTGCTGTATTTATAAATGATGAAGTTAACTGGATTTTAAATTTGTCTCAATTTGGGGAATTAAAGAACTTTTATTAATATGTTGGTTATTTAATCAAATATAGACAAGCAGTTAAAGTACTGACTGTTTTCCTCAATTTCTCTTCTAGAAGTTCTTGCTAATCTATATCCTGAAATGGCCATAATCTGGCTTAATCTGGAACTGCTTTGATTGTTTTAAATAAAAGTTAAGGAGCTGACTGTCCTAATGTCAATAAATGTGGCACCCAGGTGATCGCCACAGTTCCAACAGAGCGACTGCCATGTCTGAAAGAGGCGGGGCTTGGCCTGGAGCCCGGGGAGGAGGAAGGGGAGGAGCTGGCCGAGGATGAGGAGGAGATTGACTGTGCAGAGCGAGAGCTGCGCCGCGGACAGATCCTCTGGTTCAGAGGCCTTAACCGTATCCAGACTCAGGTACTATCAGACTGGAGCTCCAGTTCCAACCGTAGCTGTGACTTTGGCAGCGGAGCACGGACACCCAGACATTTCAACCTGAACCTTCACTCGGCCATGACACGTTTGCAGTTTGTTTGAGGTGAACGGAGGAAAAATCTGGGCCATTTCTGAGCCAATCACTGTTCCTGATGTTTGCTCTGCTTTCATCAAGCAGCTAATTTATTAACACCCCCATCATTCGGTGATAAGGTCCCTGAAATTCAGCCCAACCCAGATAAACTGCAGGTATCATGGTCTTCTCATGCTTGAAGAACAGACTTTTGTAAAGAGATAAAGAACCCCTTAGAAATACGGACTCTTTGATAAGTTTAAGGTCTTAAACTGATTTGTTCTTGCTCTTCAAAAGTCAGGCTGTCTCATCCAGTCTCTGCTGGTCCTCTGAAATGTGCCAAACATAATGCTTTACTTTTTCTCTCTGACACAGCCGACATTTCTGTTCTAAATCCTCTGAAAACGGCTTCCTGTGTCTTGGAGGTGGTACCTTCATAGCACATGGTCACCATGAGGGGGCGTGTTTATTTATTGATGGAGCGTCCTCAGTCAAACTATCTAAGGCTCATGTGAAGATAAACGTTTACCTGCATGAAGATCAACTCTCCTCAGAGAGCTGGGCCAGCTGCTCTGTTTTAGTGCCTGCTCCACAGGTCTACAGGTTTCTGTCAGATTATTTGGTCTGAGCACAAAATGACACAGATATAACGTTAGCTTGCTCATATTTTCCACTAAGCAGCCAGATTTTCTTGTGGTTTTGTAAAGTAGTCTGATATATTTTTCAGAGATGCTGAGTAGGTCTGAATGCCGCCTCACCTCTGAGCGGCTCCAAGGTTTCGTTGAAATAAAAACTGAGTTACATTCACAAAAAACTGGCATGAGTGTGAGAACGAAGGTTCTCCATGATTTTATCTCTAGACGCAGAATAAATGCCTATTACTCCACTTAATTTATTTTATTTTTGAGATTTTTTCTCCACTATGATGAACAAGTTTTTATCAAAAGTATATCAGATGGATTTTATCTGATGGTTTTAGCTGCGCCATTTAGATGCTAACAACTCTTTGGGGATTACCTCAAAGGGCTGAAAGGATTACTATAATCTAGCCGTAGTATGGGGGTGTTTCACTTCTACGCAGGCTACATCCTTAAACATGTTGAGGCCCCATGTGTCTGAAGTGAAGCAAAGTCTCTACAAACTGACATTCAATGTGACAAAAAGTGTTCATTGCATCTTTGAAGTATCTAAACCCACATAAACCTCCGATTCAGAACCAGCGATGCATTTACAGGATCTACTGTTATGCTTTCTATGGCAAACAGCAACATTTATTAAACCGAATGGAAAAACTTCGCTTTAAGCTAATTTAGGCAATAAGGTTCAATTCCTTGTCAACAAAAAACATGGTAATTTCAGGTTACATTTTAACATCTTTCTCCTTCATTAGCTCCTCCCACCTGCAGAAAGCTAGCACAATGTCTATCCTCGTTTTCTGATGTCTCTTCTTTTTCCCTTTCCCTTGGTGAAATCGTTTCTTCTGCTGCTGCTGGATATGCATGGCCCGGCAAGGTCCTGCATGAGCCTGCAAGGTCCTGCATGGCCCTGCAAGGTCCTGCAAGCTCCTGCATGGCCCTGCAAGGTCCTGCATGAGCCAGCAAGGTCCTGCAAGGTCCTACAAGGTCCTGCATGGCCCTGCAAGCTTCTGCATGGCCCTGCAAGGTCCTGCATGAGCCAGCAAGGTCCTGCAAGGTCCTACAAGGTCCTGCATGGCCCTGCAAGGTCCTGCAAGGTTCTGCAAGGCCCTGCAAGGTCCTCATGGCCCTGCATGGCCCAGCAAGATCCTGCAAGGTCCTGCAAGGCCCTGCAAGGTCCTGCATGGTCCTGCAAGGTCCTGCAAGGCCCTGCGAGGTCCTGCATGGTCCTGCAAGGTCCTGCAAGGCCCTGCAAGGTCCTGCATGGTCCTGCAAGGTCCTGCAAGGCCCTGCGAGGTCCTGCATGGCCATGTGAGGTCCTGCATGGCCCTGCAAAGTCCTGCAAGGTCCTGCGAGGTCCTGCATGGCCCTGCAAAGTCCTGCAAGGTCCTGCGAGGTCCTGCATGGCCATGCGAGGTCCTGCGAGGTCCTGCAAGGTCCTGCGAGGTCCTGCATGGCCATGCGAGGTCCTGCATGGCCCTGCAAGGTCCTGCATGGTCGTACGTGGTCCTGCAGGTCCCGCATTGGGCTGCAGTGGTGCAAACTTGCAGTTCTTGGGTTAACGTCTCCAAATGATCCGCCCCGCTCCGTTCCAGACCGCCTGCGTAAAGCAAAGCCTACAGCCTCTGCGGTTCCTCCCGTCTTGCTCCGCTTCGACTTCCTTGGAGCTCAAGTAGAGCATGCACAATATTATTATTAAATTCAAAACATGTGGAAATTAAGGCCTATTTTCATGTAATATAATTAAAACTCACCATCAGCATCAATCACACACGTTTCTGCTCAAACAGGCTGGATTTTATGAAACTTTTAAGCCTCTGTATAAAATAAATATTTTAAATAGATGAGAAATGTGCTTCCTTGTCTACTAAGGTACCGATAGCTGGCATCCAGTTATTGAATTACATGCTCTTAGTTTTTGGAAATACAGAAGAATTACACTCAAATCTCTAGTTACCGATCTGTCGTTACCATATTTTAATTTGACAAACAGGATCTTCTCGCCATCCTTTTTCCTGTTTGGTGCGATTGCAGTAACGTATCTGGACCTGGCCGGACCGCCGCGGGGCTAAAAATAGCTCGGCTCTGTATTTTGAAGGTGAAGGACGGAGAAGACGTATGTGAACGGTGACGTGTGGAGGAGTAGCGTGCTCCACACGCCGTACGTGAGCGGGGCGGAGCGCTGACTGAGGATGAGGAATCTGGAGGTCGGTCACGCTGAACTGCTAGCAGGGGAAACGTGTTGCGTTAGCAGTCTTTTATTCCTGTGCTGTATCCCTGACAGACATGTCATGGCTGACCAGCTTATTTATAAACTGATTCAAAATCCTTGACTTATTAAAATGGTTCCGAGTATCAATGGAGGTAATAAAACACCAGTATAACACATAGGTAAATACAGTCATTAAATGTCGCTTTAATGGAGTCTGTCAGTTTGTTATTTGTGGGTTTTTTCTATAGAGTTAAAGCAGATAAATCAGTGTAGCCTGTGTTTGTTAAAGGCTGCTGGAGATTCAAACAACACTGCCCCACGTTTAGGTCAAATATTAGCTTAAATTGACAAAAATGTCGAGCTGCCTTCTGCTTTTAGCAGGCTAAATCTGGAAGTCCTCTAATGGGGGGAATCTCAGAGAACTATTAACAGACCACTTTGCAAAGACTGGAAGAAAATGCAACTGCTTGGCAGGAAAAGGGGATTCAGTCAGGGGGGCAACGGTGTGTTTAGGGAAGCTGGAGGTGAAAAGGACATCAGGGCAATAATTTCATCAGGGCAAGAGAAACCCCCCCTCAGGCCAGACCTCCTTCCCTCACTGAGTGATGCTGCTGTTTTGTCTCTGTCCTGCAGATGGAGGTAGTGAGCACATTCAAGCGAAGCGGTTCCTTTCAGGGAGCAGTGAGACGGCGCTCCTCCGTGCTCAGTCAGCTCCACGACGTAAACACTATCTCTACCCCCTCTCACGTAGCTCTCTCCACCGCTACAGCCAATACCAGCCCAGCCCCTGGGAGTGAGTTTGCCGAAAGCATGCACACACATCTCCCACACACACACACATGAACTGGCACACACCCATCCACACACACTAACACTCCTGTACGCTGCTGCACGGCACGTGGACTGCGGTATTTTTACTCTCCATGGTTGTGTCCCTTCGGCCCGCCAGCTGCTCGTGTGTGTGCACTGTCTCTGTTTTCTTTCTTTGTTTGGATTTTCCTCCTCATGGTGCACGAGTCCTGACCAGCACCTGGTCCTGACCAGTACCCGGCCCTGACCAGTACGAGTCCTGACCAGCACCCGGTCCTGACCAGCACCCTGTCCTGACCAGTACCCTGTCCTGACCAGTACCCGGTCCTGACCAGCACCTGGTCCTGACCAGAACCCGGTCCTGACCAGAACCCTGTCCTGACCAGTACCCGGCCCTGACCAGTACGAGTCCTGACCAGCACCCGGTCCTGACCAGCACCCTGTCCTGACCAGCACCCTGTCCTGACCAGCACCCGGTCCTGACCAGAACCCGGTCCTGACCAGTACGAGTCCTGACCAGCAACCGGTCCTGACCAGCACCCTGTCCTGACCAGCACCCGGTCCTGACCAGAACCAGGTCCTGACCAGCACCCGGTCCTGACCAGCACCCGGTCCTGACCAGCACCTGGTCCTGACCAGCACCCGGTCCTGACCAGCACCTGGTCCTGACCAGCACCCGGTCCTGACCAGCACCCTGTCCTGACCAGCACCCGGTCCTGACCAGAACCAGGTCCTGACCAGCACCTGGTCCTGACCAGAACCCGGTCCTGACCAGAACCCTGTCCTGACCAGCACCCGGTCCTGACCAGCACCCGGTCCTGACCAGAACCAGGTCCTGACCAGCACCCGGTCCTGACCAGAACCAGGTCCTGACCAGAACCCTGTCCTGACCAGTACCCGGTCCTGACCAGCACCCGGTCCTGACCAGTACCCAGTCCTGACCAGTACCCAGTCCTGACCAGCACCCGGTCCTGAGCAGTTGTGTGGCTGTGGTCTGATCTGGACTGGTCCAGTCCCAGTATCCGTCTCAGGCCAGAGACTGTTCCCCTGTTGAGTGTGGGTTGGTGCAGGAGGCGCCTGGCTGCTCTCCCTCTGAACGCGGTGTCACATCGCTAACCCTGAAGCCTGAATCTCAGCTTGGGGCAGATTCAGAACCTAAAGGAGAAGAAGATGAAAACCCTCCTAAGTTCAGGGGAGTAAAGGCAGCTCCTCCTGCGCCTCCTTTTCCTGTTTGCATATGAGGTCAAGCGTA